GGATTGATTTTGAGTTACATACCTGAGTTCTAGAGCTCTATAGTTGTGGCTGTCGTCTGCTGACAACTGTCCAAGTATTTCCAGTGGTTGTCCCTTCAAGCTCGTTGCCAGGTACACTGCCTTTTGCTCCTCTGTCCATCCATTCATTTCTGCCAGGAGCTCAAATTGTGCTCTATATGCTTCCCATGGTGCCTTCCCATCGAATTCCTGTGTTTTCCTTCATACTAGATCGCCCCTATTGCTGACACTCATGTCTGGAATGTGACTTCTGGCAGGACTGAAGATATCTGCATTAGGGTTTAGCTGCGGGGTCTGAAAGGGGCTTTCTGTTGTCTGGGGCTGATTAGGTCCATGGCTAATATATCCTTCCTGTGTAAAATATAGTAAATTGTCCTTTATCGTATTTAATTCATTTTGAAATTCACTAATCTTTTCCATTTGTACTTCTTGTTTCCTTTCTTGTTCCTGTTGCCACTGGTACTGGTTTTCTTGTCACTGCTGTAGTCTCTCTTATTGTTCATTTTCTTTCTTCTCCAACCACTGCTGTAGTCTCTCTTATTGTTCATTTTCTTTCTTCTCCAACCACTGCTGTAGTCTCTCTTCTTGTTTATTTTCTCGTTCTTCTTGTTTCTTTTCTTTTTCCTCCAACAACTGCTATAATCTCTCTTCTTGTTTCTTTTGCTGTTCGAGCTGCCACTGTTGCAGTTTTTCTTGCACCTGCTGTTGTCTCTTCTTGTTTCTTTTCTTTCTCCTCCAACTACTGCGGTAGTCTTTTTTCTTGTTTATTTTCCCGTTCTTCTTGTTTCTTTTGCTGTTCTTGTATTGCTGCCATCAAATCTGCTTAGTCGTAATTTGATTTGCCACTTCTCGTTTCCATCTTTTTTTTTTTTCGTCCCACTCTCTGACACCAGTTTGTTACGTATCTGCTTCTTTGTTAATTTCTGGTAGACATTCTTTCCCAAGAACTTCAGCGATACAAGTCCTTTCTTGATTAAACCAGTTTATTCTTTCTGGATATAAACTTTTAGTACACAGTAATTGCACAGTCAGTATGTTTCTCGTTCTTTTAAGCTTAACAACTTTTATAATACACGCTATAAATTACAGTGATTCACAATCTCGATAATTTTGCTCTCGACAAGTACAAAACACACAATTTTTTTTATTCCTGGTGGCTTTCTCTGCCAGGCTTATATACTAAAGAAGAGGGCGTCTCGAACAAACTCGGTCTTTCCCGATAATTCGAGAAACTTCAAGCACGCTACTAGTGCCACGTGACTTCCGCTGTCGTAACAATATTTTATAATATTAACTTGTATACTTCAAATGCTGTATTTTAAAATAATACAATCCTTGTTTAAAATGATGATTTAAAATTATATAGAAATATCTTTTATAATGTGTAATGTCTTTTAATGTCAGGTTTACATCTAAAAAACTTATTTGAGTAGTGGAGTAAACTAGATTAAATTTAATAGAAGTGTGGAAAGAGTTTGCATGTCTACAGAAAGATAGTAAGGAGTCTTCGTCTCCTATCCAAATGAAAAAAATGTCATTTATGTATCGTTTACAAATGTTTGGTTTGTCTGTATAACTTTCCAACAGTCTCGTCTCTAAGTCTCCCATGAAAACATTGGCTTAGTTTGGTGCTATCTTGGTCCCCATAGCTGTGCCTTTTGTCTGAGTATAGAATTCATTATTAAATTCAAACCCGTTAAGTGTAAGAACAAGTTTAGTTAAGTCTACAATAGTCCGAGTGTTGGGTTTGTCAAGTTTCAAAAGGGAAGATTCAAAAGCTTTTAGGCCTTCGTCGTGGGGAATATTTACGTAAAGAGAAGAAACGTCCATGGTGCAGAGAATAGTGTTTGGGGGTAATTTTCCGTTGTTGTTAATGTCAGAGATCATGTTCAAAAAATGGGTTGTGTCTTTAATATATGACGTCAAACATTGAGGGAAATCTTTCATGTGATGATCAACGTAAGCAGGTAAGTTCTCGGTGGGCATACCGCAATTGGAAATAATAGGACGACCAGGATTGATAGGTTTGTGTATCTTTGGTAACATATAAAAGCGACCTGGAACTGGGTGTTTAGGTGAAAAGAACTGTAAAGTTTCACGACGTATGTGTTGGTTTTTCTGTAAACTACATAGCTTGTCTTCAATTATTTTAAGAAATTCCGGGGTGGGATCCCAATCTACTTTTTTACAGTAGTTTATGTCATTAAGATGTCGATAAGCTTCGTTAATATAGTCGGATTTGTCCTGAATGACAATGACGCCGCCCTTATCAGCTTGTTTAATAATAATGTCATTCCCATGTTTCAGTGAAATTAGAGCAGCATGTTCGTTGTAGGAGAGATTATTCCGTACTTTTATGTTAGAGTTTATGGCTTGAATTACATCATTCTCAATTGCAGTAATAAAGCTCTCTAAGTGTGGTTCTCTGTTGACTGGTGGTGACCAGGTGGATTTTTCTTTAAATGGTGTACCGATATCGTTTACGTTAGTGGTTTTATTGTGGAAAAATTCCCGAAGTCTTAATCTGAGTGCAAATTCTTGAAATTCGGAAATAACTTCGAAATTATCTATGTTCTTAGGGGTAGGAGTAAAGTTGAGACCTTTGCTGAGAAGGTTGTGCTGAGTTTCAGTTAATGTTTTAGAAGACAGATTTAAGACATTGGAAGTGTTTTCTGGTTTGGGTCTCTCAGACAAGGCAGTAGCTGAATTGGATGAGTCAGAAATAGAGCTTATTTTATGAGACAACTCAACGTGCGAGTTTGTATTATTTGAGTTATTGGTCAACGATTCACAGGTAGCGTCAGTAGGGGCTTGTTTAAAGTTATTATTTCGTTGAGTTTGTTTGTTTGTTTTGAATTTCGCGCAAAGCTACACGAGGGCTATCTGTGCTAGCCGTCCCTAATTTAGCAGTGTAAGACTAGAGGGAAGGTAGCTAGTCATCACCACCCACCGCCAACTCTTGGACTACTCTTTTACCAACGAATAGTGGAATTGGCCGTCACATTATAACGCCCCCACGACTGAAAGGGCAAGCATGTTTGATGTGACGGGAATTCGAACTCACGACCTGCAGATTGCGAGTCGAGCGCCCTAACCACCAGGCCATGCCGGGCCCTATTTCGTTGTGAACCGACGATAAGATTTTGGTGAGATAATCATGATGTGTTTCTTCCTTGTTGTTTATCGCGTGATTTTCGAAAGACTTTTTTTGTTTTGTTAATAAAAACATCAAGTTTATTTTGTTCAATAGTAGAAATTGTGTTCTCGGAATTTATAATGGAAATGTTCTTATCAAGATCGGCTACTGTGGATTTGCAGATGTCTTGTGTGAGCTTTATAAGTGCAACTGAGGTGGAATGGAGAATTTTCTTTCATTGTAAACAAAATAGTTTGTCATTGGCCCCTTTGGTAACTGGTGGATTCAGATTAAGTGATTTAGGTACAGTTTGACACTGTAAATGTTGTTCTAAAACGACAGTATGGTTAATATATCTCAGTCTCTATTCTTTCAGTTTTCTAAGTCGTTTGAAAGTTTTGATAGCGTTGAGATTAGAATACGATTGGGAAGTTGTAATGTAGGGAAGGTTTAGTTTGAGGAGAGTGGAAGATTTATCTATGGGACGTGAAGGTTTAGAGTCATCAGGTTTGGAACTTAGTGGAGGATTGCTAGGAATATAGAGGATACCAGAAGGAAGGTTGCTTTCAAGGTGTGCAGAAGATTTGACTTTCGGAAGGAGATCGTGAAGTTTGGAAGGTCATCAAGTTCAGGGCTTACTAGAAGATTATTAGGAATAAGAGTGGAAGCCGTAACTTCTACATGAGTAGAGAATTTAGGCGAAGGGTCAAATGTAGACTTTGGAATAGTTCCAGGAGAAGTAGTGATAGAAATGGAATATGGAAGTATAGAAGTGTGGCATACAGATGTATTTACTTTGAGTTGAAAGGTTGTGACTGAGGCAGGCTTCGTGGATTGGGTATCAGGGCTTAGGGAAAGGTTACTAGAAACAAAAGAGGAAGCCGTGACTTCAGTATAGGTTAGATATTTAGGCGAAGGGTCACAATTAGAGTTTGGGACAGTTCCAGGAGAAACAGGGTTTGGAAGTGTAGTAGAGGTGTGGCATACAGATGTATGCTCCTGGGGTTGAGGTTTTTTTTAATGAGATAGGGGTATGGGGAATAGAAGAGGTTGAAGGAGATTTAGGACTAGGGGTGTTTGGTTGGTTTACGCTGGAGTATTCAGTATTAGTTTGTAGGCGAAGAAGAATAAAGTTGGTAATAAAGAAGCGGAAATTACAGGATAGGGAAACGCTTCCTTGGAAAGAAAGGTGTAAACTAAGAAATGTCTCCTGCTTTAAAGTTTCAAGCTAGTGTTGTAAAGGAAAGACAAGCGTGGGTTACGTAGACATAGGTCATGTGCGGGAACGTTGAATTTGTCAATTTTGTGATTTAAAGTGTCAGTAGTACAGACTTGTTTCAGAAAGAGATCATCAGTATGTCTATTAACGTCACGGTGAATAACGCTTGAGAAACATACGTGAAGATCAGTACAGAGAGTCAAAATATGTAACAGTAAGGTTTGTAGGTCATTAAAATAGTCATAAACTGTCGTTGAGTTCCGGTAGAGGTCGTTAGTTCCAACATGAGTTGGGATTGGGTGGTCACCAGATCCAACTGAACTGGGACTTCCGCAAAGTTAACGTTTTTCCTTTGTAAAAAACAGTAAAAAAATATAGGGGGGGGGGGAAATTCCGAGCAAACGGAACATGACCAAAGCTAGTCCGTGGTAATCCCACATAGTTTTAACTGAAGGTGTTATGAATAATCTTTACTTAGATCTCAAGTTCAAATAATGGACTAACTGGTGTCTTCATAATGATTATATAACCGCATCTCATAGTGAAAATTTAATGACTTTGTATCTTTTACGCTATTCAAGTTCTTACTTAAATACACGTGATTCATGAGGACTCTGTAAAAAAGAAAGCCTAAAGTGAATGAAGTTATCTATCACAATAGAATAGATGATAAACCGACAATTTTCAATCGATAACCACTGTATTCGTGATAGTAAGCTACTAAATATACGTGTTGTAGTGTCCGTTCCGACAGAAAGGATAACAAACTTTTTAGACTGCTAACCTTAGAATCACGTACCATTTGGCCGTGACCGTCACGTGAAGAAAGGGTAGCTCGGACATCGGCTTTTGAACATTGATTTATAGAATACACATACATACATACACTGGTGCTTGGCCGCAATGCACGCGACTGGAATGGTTCGTAGAAAATGACAGCAGGAGGTGGCTTTGACGTCAGAGCCAGGTAGTTAAGAAAAGTGTTCTTCAAACACTTGTGGTTGTCGAGGTGGACACTCGTGTGAAGAGACGCAAGGTATTGTTTTAGAATACACTAAAGTAGCTAGTTTGTTCTTTCTTCCCCGGAAATTTTAGGTTGATTGTAGGAAGTTTGTAAGAACAGGCATTCTGATCACTATTTAACTATATATATAATAACTAGGTAATTCTTAATATGGTGACGTAATATATAAATAAATTTTAAAATATTTGTTAATGTTCTAATAATACATACATGTACTATTGTATCAATCACTTTAAAAATATTAGGTTTACACGCACAGTTATCAACCCTAAACATAATTATTAATCTTTGGTTACATTTTAAAATAAAAGATATCATATTTGAATTTTTAGTATTTAATAAACATATTGAACATTAATGGTTTAACCTTCATCTAATAGTATTTGTTTATTTGAATTTCGCGCAAAGCTACACGAGGGCTATCTGCGTTAGCCGTCTCTAATTTAGCAGTGTAAGACTAGAGGGAAGGCAGCTAGTCATCACCACCCACCGCCAACTCTTGGGCTACTCTTCTACCAACGAATAGTGGGATTGACCGTAACATTATAACGCCCCCACGGCTTAAAGGGCGAGCATGTTTGGTGTGACGGGGATTCGAACCCGCGACCCGCAGATTGTGAGCCGAGTACCCTAACCACTTGGCCATGACGGGCTGCTAATAATATTTAACGAACATATTGAACATTAATGGTTTAACCTTCATCTAATAGTATTTAATGAACATACCGAACATTAATGGTTTAACCTTCATTTAATAATAACAAAATCATTCTGCCTTGTGCAAGTTGAATTCTAAATGTTAACCGCACACTTTTGTTTTCGTCTGAGGTGAAGATAGTCTAATATATATTTTACTAACTGTGTGTATGTATTTTATTAATACTGTGTGTATCGATCAACGAATGAAAAAAGTTCCCATTTAATATAATATCCGGCAAGTTAAGCCTTTTGTTAGTAAAATCTATGCTATTTAAGATATTATGTTGAGTAACATTAATTATCGAGATTGTTGAAAAAAAATTAGTTTATTTGAAGTTATTACACAACCTGTACAACACTATTTGTTAATATAATTCATCAAAGACTTAACACTCAAGTGTTTATTAAAGTTACAAAAATGCGGGTTTCAAACACTTTGCCAATATTACTGATCTTTATCATAAAACAAAACATGTTAAAAGGACTTTGAATGGTATTATTTGATTTGACTTTGACAACAAAAAACAGTTTCTTAATTTAGGAATGATTTAAAATTGTGTAGGATACTCAAATTTCTTTTGGGTGCATTTATTTTATAAGACCAACAATAATCGTGGAAATTTTTTGTTTTTAAATTTAAATTCACCAGTCGGTAGGCAACTAGCAGCTTAACTATCTTCCTGCCCCCTGGTGGTTCAGCAGTAAGTCTGAGGGCTTATCACTCTGAAAATCGAGTTTCGATACTCATGGTTGTCACAGTACGGATAGCCTATTGTGTAAATTTGGCCTTATCGACAACCTAACCAAAACTTTGTATGTGACTGATAGTTGTTGTTCATCAATGTCTAATTGTATGTCAGCCAGAACTAGTCTTACAAGAAAGTTTCATCCAGTTGTTTGGGCGTGCTTGGAGCGATCGTTTCAGAAATTTTATGCGCCAGTGGATCGAAACGTCATCTCTAAAGTTGCTGAAACAGATAGAACAACCTTGTGGAAGGTTACAAGGTAAAAACAAGCAGGTAACGCCCAGTTGAAACTTGTTGAAATAGGCTTGTGTGCTGGTGTTTAGACGATCCATTTGTGTGTTATCTTCATCAGGTCTGTAGCACTTAAACAATTTCATGCAGCGAATATAGATCTAACGTATATACACAGAAGTAGATCTCAAAACGTTGTCTAATCATCATCTTACCAGACAGGACATTCAGTTTAACATATTTCATGTGAATAACATTCCTCCCCCTAAAACTTACATTAAGCTCGAATTAGTTTTATCTGTCTCATTTCACAAACAGAATTTCCTTCCATGTAAAACAGAATCAGTTATCAAATAGAAATTTATTCATTGTCATCCAGGATCAGTTGTCAAATAGAACTTCTCTCAATATCAAATTGAACTTCACTGTTAAACAGAATCAGTTGTCAAATACAATTTCCCTCAATGTCAAACAGAATCAGTAGTCAAATACAACTTCCCTCGTCGTCAAATAAAATCAGTTGTCAAACATAACTTCACTGTTAAACAGAATCAGTTGTCAAATACAATTCCCCTCATTGTGAAACAGAATCAGTTGAACTTCACTGTCAAATAGAATCAGTTGTCAAACAGAACTTCACTGTTAAACAGAATCAGTTGTCAAATACAATTTCCCTCATTGTTAAACTTCACTGTCAAACAGAACTTCAATAACAAACAGAACTATTTGTCAAACAGAATTTCACTGTTAAACAGAATCAGTTGTCAAACAGAACTTCAATGTCAAACAGAATCAGTTTTGCAAGAGAACTTCACTGTCAAACAGAACTTCACTGTTAAACAGAATCAGTTGTCAAATACAATTTCCCTCATTGTCAAACAGAATCAGTTGAGCTGAACTGTCAAACAGAACTTCAATATCAAACAGAATCAGTTATCAAATACAATTTCCCTCATTGTCAAACAGAATCAGTTATCAAATACAATTTCCCTCATTGTCAAACAGAATCAATTATCAAATACAATTTCTCTCATTGTCAAACAGAATCAGTTTTCCAAAAGAACTTCACTGTCAAACAGAATCATTGTCAAATTCAACTTCCCTCAATGTCAAACAGAATCAGTATTCAAACAGAACTTCACTGTTAAAGAGAATCAGTTGTTAAACAGAACTTCAATGTCATACAGAACTTCATTGTTAAAACAGAAGTCATTACAAAGATAAGAAAGTATAAAGAATATGTTACTCATGTTTTGCATTGTTACTATATACGTTTTGTATTATATTGATGAATAGCTTATAAAATGGTATAACGAAATGCTACATTTTTCAGATATAAAAACAAGTGGAGTTAAACCTGAAGAGTGGAAGTTATAGATCATAACTAGCCGACCTTCACTAGTGATGCAAGCTCCAAGATTGAACATTTCTGAATGTCATATAGAAAACTAAATCACCAAACCGATTTGGAGCTCCCGAAAAATACTTGTTCACACTTGTCTTGAAACCAAAGTTATATTTCTCACTTAGTAAACAGGAGTGCTCCTACGTCACGATGTCCAGTCCTATGACTAGACCTGCAGTCTTAAGAAAACATAGCTCAAGAGATAAAATACTTCGGTCTCAGCGGTGTCGCCGGCATACACTAGCCAATGTTCTGCGGTAAGTAGTACACTTAAAAATATGTACTTTATGATCAGTTTCTATTTCTAAAAACTGAATAAAGCATAACAAGACAATACTTCTTTCATAATGACTGTTTCAGAGCTCTTCCATTCCAGTGGCTCAGCGATAAGTATGAAGGCTTATAACGCTCAAAACTGGGTTTCGATACTCGTGGTGGGCACAGCACAGATAGCCCATTGTGTAGCTTTGTGCTTAACAACAAACCAATCAGTGCTCTTTACTGTCGTAGGAATCAAAAAGGAATCTTTTAAAAAACTACTATAGTATAAAAAGGTGTTAAACTTTTAAAAATTTGAAGAATGCTTTTGTGATTAATTTTATGTAAAGATTTCAACGGTATAACAATTGTTTCTTAAAAGTTTACGTTTGCATGCATATTATTTTCATGAATAAAACACACATAACACAAACTCGTGTCTAGTTGTTGAGAATATGGTAAGTAAAGTGCACAAAATCTTGTTTTCTTACAAGTTTACCACTGTTCTTAATTGTTAAGGGAATTAGCAATTTTTAAGAACTTTGAAAAAGTAACATTTTGACTGTAATAAAAATTGTTTATTTGATGGCTTCATGGTAAATTTTAATGAAAGGAGGTAAGTATTAGAGAACAAAATAAAAATAAAAAACAAATAGTTTTGCATCTTGAACTGTGGTTGGCTGTTATATATATATATATTCTATGTGGTATGTATATATATATATATATATATATATATATATTTATGTGTAGTATATATATATATATATATATATATATATATATATATATATTCTATGTGGTATGTTATATATATATATTTACAAAGAGTGAATAGTACTGTATATTGACTGTAATTGGTTGTTATATACGTCTAGTGAAAAATGAAAAAGTAGGTCGCTCCTGTACACTTTATACAGTTGTAAACATAGTACAGTACATATTAAAATTCTTTCATCCAATATTCCAGAACGACGATAGTGGCAGTTACGAACTGTAGTTAAAATCGACCCAAAACTATGCGGAAATACGTCATCAATGACGAATAGGAAATTTTCTTTGCTTCCTAAACTGTCTCCCCTAGACTGTGTACGCGAAGTGGAATCTCTTAAAAAAGCGCATGCGCTACGCACTCCTGGTAGTAAAGTTTAAAGAAACAATAAAACGAAACA